CAGTCCTTGATGAAATGCCCTAGCTTTCCACACTTATGATATAGGTCATAATTCTTTGGTTTGCTGGAACTACCTCTCTTTGGTATACCTCCATTCCTTCGAACCATTTTCTGAAACCTTCTGGTAAGGTATGCCATATCGCTATCCTCCTCACTTGAATCATTGTTTTCAGCTTTGAGTACCGGGTTCTTCTCCTTCTTTGGTTCTCTTCTTTCACTGTCCTTCTTTCTCTTCATCTCATAGGTCTTCAGATTTCCAACCAGCTCGTCCATAGTCAGTGTTTGCAGATCCTTGGCTTCAGTAATAGCGTTCACCTTACTCTCCCAGGAGCTGGGTAAAACGCTAAGAACTTTCCTCACGAGCTTATTCCTAGGAATGATTTCTCCAAGAGAGTGTAGCTCATTTATAATGGAAGTGAATCGAGTATGCATGTCTTGAATGGATTTATCATCCTTCATTTTAAAGAGCTCATACTCAGTGGTGAGCATGTCGATCTTGGACTGCTTTACTTGAGTGGTTCCCTCATGTGCCATTTGTAGAGCTTCCCATATCTCCTTGGCGGATTGACAGGCTGAGATCCTATTATATTCATCAGGTCCTATGCCACACACCAAAATCTTTTTGGCACGAAAGTTCTTTTCTACAGCTTTCCTGTCGGCATCATTGTACTCTTTCCTAGTTTTTGGCACCATTACAGCAGGTTCTCCTACCTTCTTTGTTGGGACGTATGGACCATCACAAATAACATCCCATAACTCGGAGTCTTCTGCCATTATGAAGTCATGCATTCGAGTTTTCCACCAGCCATAGTATTGGCCGTTGAATCTCGGGGGCCTGTAGGTTGATTGTCCTTCCTCGAAGTTTGGTGGAGCAGCCATGGTGAGGATCCTCTCTAGGTGTTAACCTTTTAGAAAGAACCCGCTCTGATACCAATTGATAGAATGTATGAGTCCACCAAACTGTATAGAGACCTGGTCCTATACCAGTTCCCGCAGAAATAGCTAATGAACCAGTAAGTAAATGACACAGAAGATTTTACGTGGAAATATCCATGCTCACGGAGATAAAAAATCACGACCTACACTTGTAGGATTTCAACTTCACAACTTGAGCAATCTTTAGATTACAACCTATTGTAACCTAGGAATTAAACTCTTAATCCCTCACTAACTTGTAATACATCTATTACAAGCCACTTTGCAATACACCTATTACAAAGACTTCAACTCATGACTAACTCTAGTCACGACACAAACTCTAAGGGTTTATGGTTTTTGGAGGTTCCTAGTTAAAGCTTCTAAATAAGCAAAGTAGGAATTACAATGAAAAACTAATACAAAGATACAACTCAACTAAGGACATACAAAAGACTTGTTGTAGGAACTGGTCCGTAGCAGTGTTGTACTTTGTTCTTGATGCACTTGTGACTTCAATGCTTGATTATCAGATCTTGAGTACTTGAGTTATTTCACAAGTGTTCAAATGATATTTTGTTGTAATGCTTCTTGTTAATATCCTTTGGATGACATCATTTGGATGATGTAAACACTTGGTTGGTAAAAAACTCTTCCCAATGGGAAGTGATTGCTGCACTGTTTCTGCACTGTAGCATATACAGTGCAGACAATCACTTTCCAGCTGTAGAGTTGACTTCGTACTGCTTTCAGGGAAACTCAAAGGGATCAGGTCCCTGAGTTGATTCTTTTCTGTCTGAAGTCATACAGCACACATTAGCTTGAGTCCGTTGATAGAGATATATACCAAGTGTACATCAGGTCCTTTATCTGTTTTTTAACAATAAGTTTGTTAGATCATCAAAATATAAATCTAAGATACTTTAAACCCATCATAATTTTTATGTCCAAACGCCAGCTAATAGCTTTTCTTGGGACCAACTTAGAGCCCGTTTGGACATAAGAAGTTTTTCCCTTTTTTCTAAAAAAAATTCACTTTTTTTCCGAAATTAGCATTTGTTCATAAAATTTTCAATTTTCACTTGGAGATATATTTTGAAAATTTTTGAAAATTTGAAAAACTCCAAAAAACTGTTTTTCAAAATTTTCACTCAAATCACTCACAAAACTTCAAAAACAACCCAAAATTATATTCATGTCCAAACACAACTCTAAATTTCAAATACTATTTTCACTTGAAATATTTTTCCCCCTATTTTAAAATTTTACAATTCTTATGTCCAAACACTTAATATCCCCTTTTCTTTTTCAAAGAGGAATCCAAGTTTAAACCTCGGCACACATTTTTTCTTTTTTTCTTTTCATCTGGCGGATAGTATTGCGGTATCGTGTTTATTTGAATCCAAGACCTTTAATGCGAAATATAAATTATATGTGAAAATCATTTAAAATCGTGATAAATAATATATATATATATATACCCATATTTTTATAAATATACTAAAATTTTAAAAGTTAAACTCATGAAATATAAATCATAAATTCAGCTTTGTCTTCGAGCCTTCTCACCAAGTAGTCTGACGTCATCGGAATCTTCTATTATGAGAAAGATTAAAAAAGATTGGTTGACTTGTCCTTAAATAGGTGTAATGGTTGTAAATAGCACGTCCAACAATTCCATTAGTTCCATTCCCTTACCAATGCTTGGCATATTATTGAACCTCTCGAGCTCAAGTAGTTTTCATGATTTCTTTATACATAATTATAAGTTATGGAATCACAACAAATTGACATGATTATTCTTTATGGATTCCTCGTAATATTTCACTTGTCACACAGTTACCTGATTTGGCGGAAAGAATCTTTCTTGCTATTGGATATATATATATATATATATATATATATATTTTAATGTGTTTCTTATGTCAAAATATAATTGAAAATAAACCAGCAAATTGAAGAGTGTTAACATGGAGAAGGTTGGTTTTAGTTATGTGGAGGTGCTTTGCATATTCTGAATTTGACTAAGGGTTTCAAAGCTTGGTCAAAAGAATACAAAGATAATGAGCAATATTTAATGAAGTTTAGTATAGACTTATAGTAATGTAAATGTTCGCGATTTCTTTAAACAAATTACAATTCCATTTTTTTCCAAATTTTGAGTATAGAACGTATATAAGGCTTAGAGAGGGCGGGTTGATAGGCCCAACCATGCTCCACTATATTCTAAAGAGAAAACTACAGAAGTAAGTCATGAATAAATACTACTTACCAGTAAGTAGCCATTAAGTCATGCTACCAGAAATAATCATAAAATATTATCAATGATATACAATATTTAAAAAACCTAGATAAAAAAGAATTTTTTAATTGATATTATTGGAATCCGTTGAAAACAAATAAATGAGGCGATATACAAATTTGAGAAAAATTGAAATGAAATGGACCGGTTGAAGTCAAAAATCATTATCAATAATATGCAACATTCAAAAACCTAGGAAAACAAAGTTTTTTTTCCCTAATGAATATGGTTGGAATTCATTAAAAATATATGGATGAGGCAATAAACAAAATTTGAGAAAGATTAAACGTGATTTGGATTGGTTTAGAGTCAAAATTCTTGAAATCGATTTAAAAACTTTCTCTGCGACACATGTATCTAACATGTATCTCACACACACGTGTACTTGGATATACATGGGATATACAAGAGATACGCATTCGATACATGTGGGATACACATTTCATTTTCTTCCATGTTTATCTTCTACTTCATATTTTTAATTAAAACCACCTTAAAATTTCATCAAATCATCCCAAAATGAAGATTCAAACTCCTTAAAATGTATCCAATCTATACTAATAACACCCACTTGAAACAAATTCTAATTTTAGATTCTAATTTTTGAATTCAAGTTTAAGCAAGGTTCAATGGCTTCCAATGGAGTTTTAGTTCATCTTCTTCGCTCTTCAAATTATTTTGCTAAGCAACTGTATCAAATAAATGGATTTATCTTAAGACTAATATTATCCACAACTACCGCCGCATGTACAATATTTGTATGGCTGCTCCATGTACAATATTAAGAAATTAATTTCTGATATAAAAATATAGCACATTCAATTGATTATAGAAATCACTAGTTGCTCAAGTGAAAGACCACGTATGTAACCCTAGTTGTATTATATTAGCACTATATTAAAGTTTTATTGGAAGAGCTTTAATTTGGCACTTACGTTCATTATATTATCTAGGCATGCATTTTTATATAGATTTAAGAATTATTTTTATTTTTTTCTAATTGACTACGTGAAGGAGAAAGAGGAAAGATGAGGAAGGTAGACTAAAGAGAAGGAGAAGCATACATATCGTTAATTGGGCTAATATCGATAGCATTTGGCTAAGACTAATAGTATTTTATGAATTAACTAATATTAATAGTATTTTATTCTGAAAGATCAAACTAGATAATGTCTCTATTTTAAAAGTTAGCGTGAGGGACTATTTATTTGGAGAAAGAATTATATGCGTGTGTAGAGATTTGGCCCTACAGGAATCAGTCATAGCTTGAATTTTACGCCACATGCAGCATATTCAAGAAAAAGAAAAAAAATAATCTCTTATATTTGCGTGTAAGTACAAAGTGATCCCTTAAAAATAAATTTTTTAGCAGTATTGATCCTTCAAGTTTGTCAAAAATATGCATTTTTGGCCTCTCAAATATTTAACAAACTCTGAGCAATAGAATTAATGAGAACCGTTAAAAGAAATATTTAACATAAACTCACATTTGGAGGTGCAATTTTTGCTTTTTCATTACTTTTTATTTATTTTTTGAGTCCGGTACAGTTTTTAAGGTGCAGTTCTGCTACTTTGCATATAATTTTTGGAGTCTTGATGCAATTTTTGTGTTGCGATTTTTGGAATTTGACGGGACATTTCAGGTATTTCTTGTTTAAATATTTTTTCCATAGTTTTTGTTAAATCTAATAGTCGTAGTTTATTAAGTATTTGACTGAGACTAAATTGCTCAAGAATATATATTTAAGGGGCCACCGTGAACCAACCCCAAACATAAGGGACCATAGAATTGTTTATCACGTGTTCATTATAATATTGGGCCTAAATATCATGCTATTCCGCTAGAAAAAAGTCGCGCGATGACTATACAAAGAGGATAATCCTAAACTCGCTCTTGAATAATTGAGAGAGATATTTTCAATTAATAGTAATCAATCTATCGGTGATATCCTTAGAAATAAGAATAAGTATATTGAGACAGCTAAAAAAGCATAAGTTGTTCAAAGTCATGTTCAAAGCAAGAAATTGTGTGAGTATGAGCATCCAAATGTATGTATAGAATTTTTTTAATCTAATATCTTGTAACAACCCGGAATCCCACCTTCGGGATCGTGATAACTCCTACCATTTCACTTGATAGACATGCCGATGTTAGCTAGATTTATTAGCCAGTTTAAACAATTCAAATCAAAATTTTAACAACCGAATAGTCTGAAATAAGGTGATAACTACTGAACGACGTAATTCAAATACAATCCTAAAAATTGGGGTCACCAATACATGAGCCTCTATAGTACTACATATAATAGTGTGAATAAACACAACTCTCTGAATCTAAATAAACAACAATAATGAATTAGAAGGGATCTTCAGGACTGCGGACGCCGTGCAGTTATACCTCAAGTCTCCACAAGTATTTGGATTCGGGCAAATCTCACTAAGCGCAGCTGGGATCAACTTCGGCATCTGCACTAGAAGTGCAGAGTGTAGTATGAGTATAAGTGACCATATGTACTCTGTAAGTGCCGAGCCTAACCTCTACGAAGTAATAACGAGGCTAAGGTGGGTCACTTACAATAACCTGTACGCAATAATAATAATAATAATAACAGGAAAACATGAAATGGAAGTAAAGCAATTAACTCATGAAAACGAACTCAAA